CCCCCGAGCTGGCTCAGAGGGCGGCAGCAGTGAATCAGCAATGGGCGCAGCAGCCAGGGGACCAAAGCCGTGAGATGAGTAGCAGTGGCTTTGGGCAGGGATGGTTGGGGCTTTTGGTGGGGGGGAGGGCGGCAGGGCAGTTGGCGCCCTGTTCGAAGCTCTGCCCTAGGCCAGAGACTAGCTGGCCTAGTGATAGAGCCGGCCCTGATCAGGCTAAAAGTTCATTCAGGTATCTACCTAAAACATCTCAACATCAGAATACACATATTCTGAAGGAAATTTGTTCTAACCAAACACAGAGAGGGAGAACAGCAGTACATCTCCTGTTTTTACCTTTGGAGTGCAAGCAAGCTGCTAGCCTCATACAGTCCTGGTGCAGTTCCTCTTTCAATCTGTGGTCCCTAGATGTGCTGAGAGGCAGGATGGGGCGTGGCTTTTTCCTCTTCATGGAAGAATCTGACCCTGAAGGGAAATAAAACAGTCTCCTAACTTGACCCGAAGTTAGAGATCTCCATTCACAAGCTTCAAGAAATCCACACTCAAATATGCTGGTGACAGGATTCATGGCAGGACATACTTGCATGTTTGGGGGGAGGGGAGGAAGTTACCTCCACTTTGAGTTATTGCCCACTGCATACAAAATTAGCCATCACGATTTAAGAATCAGAAACTAGAGAGCTATTATGCAGAACTGATGGGATTAGTGGCACACCTGTACCGTGTGTGTGTGTGTGTGTGTGTATTTATATACACACACACACACACACACATTTTAAAATCACAAAATGCATTGGAGACTACTAAAAAAGAAAGGCATTCCAGTAGCAGGGTACAGTTCTGGGCACCTTGTATCAAAATAATTAAAATACGTCGCTTCAAAATGGTCTATTTTACGTGGAAATAGTAAGATACGAAGTTCTGAACTAGAAGTTACATTGTGTTCCTTTCTCTAAATCACAAGTCCAGTTCAATTTAAGCACATTTGAATCCCATGCACTTTAATGGAAGAACCAAGTATGAAAATAAATGGGGCCTAAAAGTACTGAACTGTATCTTGCAAATCTATCAAGTCATGCCTGAATTCCTGCCTCAAGTCTCCATTTCACGGTTTGCATCTCTATATCTCCCTCAGGTACACTAAAGTGGAATGAACAAAGACGGGCTTCTTAAGGGAGATCAAAACATCCCCAGTCTCTTATTGTGCGACAGTGATGACCTTACTTGGGGTACCTAGTATTTATGGTAGACATGCACCAACCTGTCTTGATATGATCCTTCCGCACAGGAGGGGTTCTAAAGCTCACCGGAGGCTTTGGAATGTCTGGTGGGCAAGCGAGTGGTGGGAACGCAGGGGAATCCTTGTGGACTGAAGCATCGTGCGAAAAACAAAAAGGGGGGAAAGGCTAAGCAACGTGCAGCACAATAGCCACCACTTTACATACTATAAACAGAAACAGCAGCTGCACAGAACCCCCAAAGTGCAATGCTAGACAAAAACAGCCTGGGTGTTTAAAAGCTAATAAGAAGCAGATGATCCTTTCACTACCTCTGGCTCTCAAGGCTGGCTACAAGCAAGTGACACATAAGGGAGCTGCAAAGAAGCCACCCGCACACTGACACGACTGACAAGGGCCTGGCAGGCTTCCGAGGCAGGGAAGAAAGGGCAGGCACCCCTTTGCAGCCCTCCTGCATTCGCACCACCAGGCACTGCTTAAAGATTGCCTCGCAAAACACATACATTTAATTAAGAGTGGAGGGACTCTGCTTGGGCTGTTAAGTGTTCACGTTCCTACAAATGGACGGTGTGGAGAGCCAGCCAGCTGTTTCTCATAACCACTTCACTCTTGGAAATCTAAACACTGCTCTCCAGACTAATGTGAAATCACCCACTGTTACGCTTGCAGTCCGCAAAGGAGCTCTCTGCTTCCTTACATGAAGAGCTACATTTTGGAATACACACTAAGTACCTTCCGTGGAAGGCCTCTCAGCTGGCTCCTCTTGTCCCTTTTCTCCCTCTCGGTCCGACAGCCCATTCTCTTCTAATGGAGTCTCTGTGGCATCCTCGCCACCATTCACTGACATGTCGGGAGCTGAAGGTACCTTCCCCAATGGCTTTTTCTTCTTCTTGGCTTTCAGTTTGAGCGCCAAGCTTCTCTTTTTCTCCAGCTCAATGTTCTTCTTACCTGATAAACAGCAACAGAAACACCAACAACTGTTTGGAAAAGAGCTACTTTCATTTCTAAGGGCGTTCAAGTTACACGACAAACCTGCTGAAGGCCACCAACAGAAGACATGCCAGTGCAACAGTAGAGATCGTGCTCTATATCCATAGCAGCGATGGGAGATAATCACTATCTGTGTCTCAGCTTTCCTAGAACCTCCGCCCCGAACACACGCCCTGGAGGAACACACTGATCCTTCTCACCTTTGGCATTTGATCTGCTTGTTCAAGACCCGGAGGAGGAATGCTGCCCCATGAACCTTCTCTTGTCTTCAGGGGCCTGAATTGCTGCTTTTCGGACTTAGTCTTCTTGAGCAACTCTGTGTCTGAGAAACCAGTCTTATCTCCAGCCTTCTCAGACTCTAGCATTCCCCACTGACACCTGTGCATCAGAAGTATACTGACCTTGGGGAGGGCAGCTGTATTCCTGCTTTGCAGGCACCCATTTATGAACACAGAAGTCATCGGCTCCAGTATAAACGCAGTCTGCTTCCACAGGTGACCACTGCACACACAGCAAGCGCCCTCGGTGTCCCCTGTAATTGTGCAAAGGCTCTTCCTTTAGAACATCCCAAACCTGTGAACAAAACCTCTCACTTAAAACAGAGACCATCAAGAAACTTGTAAGAACTCCCCCAAAGCAGGTTATTCATTTATGTCATGTTCTGTGAGACTGCCTCATCATAATCAACCTTGGCATCCAGAGAAACTTTACTTGGAAAGACAAATCCTAACTGAGCATTTATCATACTCAATTGCATTTTGCTTAGCATTGCTTTCCTCCCCATTATCATAAGGACAATGTACCCAAGCGGAAACCTTTCCTTCTTCAGCGGGTTGCCTCAGCGGAGTGGCATTCAAACCACCAGGGAACAGAAATGTAGGAGAGCCGCAGAACCCTTGCAAAGCTCCAGCTAGCCTATAAATAAGTTATCTAGACTCTCCACTACCATTCACACTGCACCCGCTTTACATGTGGCCCTGGCAGTAATATTTCTAACAGTGAAAGTCCTTGCTCAATACAAATCAAAGAACAATATGAAATTAGGAAGTACACTTTTGTCAGAGTCTTTCTCTGGCAGATGCTCCCATACAATGCCAGTTTCCCCACACATGCCTCCCCTTCACAATAAAAAAGGACACAGATATTCTGTAGTAATATCCTCACCCACGTATGAAAGGTAGCAAGAAAAAAAACATCACTTTCCCTGGTAAAAAGAGGTATTCCTCTATCCCTTAAGCATTAGAGTTGTGGCAACAGTGCAAAATAAAATCTTTGGCTACTTTGCACCCGTACCTCAGCAGTGCCATCATAAGAAACAGAGACGAGTCGTGCGTCATGATGTGGACTCCAGGACAAACTAGTGATCTTAGCTGTATGCCCCGCCAGAGTATGGAAGGGCTCTGTTATTGTCACAGGACTCTCTGGAGAGTTCTCTAAAGGTAAAATACACAAGGATGGAAACAACCAGAGAAAATGTCACTAAATGCATTTCAAAGAGTGAAGATGGACAGAGGCAATCCTGTGGATATTTGACTGAGACCCCAACTCTCTCTGACACTTGTGCAATGCACGAGTGCACTGTTCAAAAAGAAACCTTCTCTCACAATGGTCAGTGTAACTTCTCCTCATTTGCAACCTCAGTCTTGCAAAAAACACTTTTCAGAGAGAACTCAGACTACTCTTAACATAATCAGTTTTCCCAAGATAGCAATCTGAATAAATTTCTAAGTCAAAAGTTTATTACGATCATAAGACCAGTCACAATAAATACACATAAAAAGGACACGTTAAAATGAATAAATACATAAAAGATGTGGGATATATGTGTAAAAGACACACTTATATATGTGTAAAAAACACACTCATTTCATTAATTTATTTCCCAGCAACTGACGTTTCCTTCGTCAAGTGATACCGCTTTTTGAGTGCTATCACACAGAATTTTGCTACTGCATATGATACAGTTCTCTATCACCTAATAGATATACCCAAAGGTTCTCAGGACTAAAATCTATATAATACTGTAATGGTTTGAATCTACAGAGTAATGGAATAATTAATTGTAGTCTTTCTTCTTGATAGAATTTGCAGTGCAAAAGTATATGTGTGATAGATTCAACCACTTTGTTTGAACAGGGACAACAACGCTGCTGCAAGGGCAGGTGGGAGAATCTTCCATACAAAACTGCAGAGGGAAACGCGTCAAATCGTGCTCTAGAGAAGGCCCACCTGCATCTTTCGTTTGTAATATCCGAAATATATGGGGATATAGTGTAGCTCAATCCTTTTCTTAAGCTTTTATAGTTTAAAGGAAGTATTGCTACGTCATTTTGGGACTCTATATCAAGTAATCTTTGGGTGATTAAGGCTTTTGCTTTGTTGAGTCCAATATCAAACAGGCCTGCTGAATCCAAGCCAATCAACTTAATTTTATCAGCTTTCTTTGAGCACCATGTAGGACAAGGGTCAGAAGCTAACAGGGGAATTAAGCCCTTTGGTTCAAAATGAATTTTTAACCAGTAATGGATGACATGTTCCCAGATTTTTAATTCGACTCTGGGGAATAAATATCAATCTCAGATTTTTTTTTATAAATTACGAGTTAGATCTAGTTGACATTAGACTAGAAAAATATGCTACAACCCGATGGGGAATGGACCCTACAACAGACAGAAAAATGAATACTAGCTCGCATGCCCCTGCATCCTGTCCACCCAGAGCTGTCAAGAGCCCAAGTTACAACTTTGTATACACAAACAGGCCGAAGATCTTGGCTTCAGTTTGGTCTAATAATCACACATGAATACAATCTCTGTAAAACCCCAGGATTCCAGGTGGTGTATTCAAGGCATTATTCACACTACCGCAAAATCATATGCTAGTTCTGTTACAAAATACAAATTCATTTCCCTCTTTTCCCATTCCCCCCCCCCCCCTAAAAAAGGGGGGGTATCTTTTCATTGCTATAACACAAGATGCCCTGACCCTAAAATGTCAGGAATAGATAAAGCAACATTTAAAAAGTAACAGTTCATTTCTGTTCATTAAGTCCTCTGCCACTTTTCAAACACCAAACTTCAAAGAGAAATTAGTTTCACAGAAATCCTAACTACAGAGAATGATACTTTGAAAGCCAACCACTCCCCCACCACTTGGCATTTTAAAGATTAGAGAAAACATTTAAAAAGTAACAGTTCATTTCTGTTCATTAAGTCCTCTGCCACTTTTCAAACACCAAACTTCAAAGAGAAATTAGTTTCACAGAAATCCCAACTACAGAGAATGATACTTTGAAAGCCAACCACTCCCTCACCACTTGGCATTTTGAAGATTAGAGAACTCTCTCTCTCTCTCTCTCTCTCAATGTTTCTCTCTCCTCAAAATGAAGGAAAAGACAGAATGCTCTGAATCCGTACAAAATACCATTATGGCCAGAAGGTGAAGAAACAGCATTGCACGCTGTATTGACAAGATCTAAAAAGAGCACGCAATAGTCACCTATGACATTCTTGATGTTATGCACATAAATAAGAGCATTGTTTGAGCCAGAGGCTATCATGTAACTCAGTTCTGGCTGTGCAGCATGATCATGGTGCCAACGGATAGCATTGATGAGTTTGTGGTGTTGCTGGATGGTGCACAGCAATTTCAGTTCAGGAGCTTGAAATATTTCAATTGATCTATAAGGTCAAAGAAGAAAAAGAGAAAAGCAGCCAGCTCACAGACCACACCACACAACAAAGAGCAGTTTTTCACCTATTACCTCTGACACATACATGCAACGTCAATACTACCACACCTGCATTCCAGAAAATTTTAGTACAATCCAGGTGCAAATTACAGACACAAACTCATGGGACCACATGAAGCAGTCTTATACTGAATCAGTTCATTCGTCTATCAAATTCTGTATTGTCTGTTCTGACTGGGAGGAGCTCTCTAGGGTCTCAGGCAGAGTTCTTTCACATGCCTTACATGAACTGGAGATGTCACAGATTGATCTTGTGACTTTCTGCTCATAAAATGTGCTGAACCACTGAGCCCCCACCCCTCCAAACTCACATGTGGTCCAACTAGCCTAAAACTCCACTACCCAAGTGGTGTTTATACAAGCAAGTGTCAACTGAAAGATCTGACCTTCCATCCATCACATTTTCTATGCAACTTGCCTTATGGCTACTGCTGCTTCCAACTAGACCGCCACTTTACAAATGCTGACCTTGGAAACAAATAGCTAAGACACCCCTCAAAATGTTCCTTTGAAATGCCAAAAGTTTAGTCCCATGTAACATGGCCCCGTGAGTCACAGCTTCAATGACTGGGCAAAACATTTTTTTGCTTGCTTTAAATCTGCTATTATTTAACTGGGAGACTGAAAGATAAGAAACTAACAATGAATGACTCTACATAGTCCCTAGCCCACTCTGACTAGGCCAGATGTGGCCAAGCTTGCTTAATGTAACAGCCACACAGAATAAACGTCAGATGTTTGAGCGCCACAAGACATGAACAAATATTACACATATGTTTTTATTGAAAAATATGCAAATTTGCTTTTTATAAACATCAAATTAGACTGTGTGAAACAGCTGCATGCAGCTCCCAAGCTGCAGTGTGGCCACCCCAAACAAGTCAGCATATTAGCTGCTCTACTGACATAAAAATGCTTTTCCTTCCCAAACACTAACAGGAATGAAAATCACTGAACACAAATGGCTTTCACCATCTCTATGCCTGCCGTAAACACAACATTTAAATTTAAACACATACCCATCTTCATTACCAATAGCCAAGATACTGCCATCTGGTTTCCAGCTGATTTCTGTGTGAGCTGGTAATTTGTGCTAGAAGAAAATGAAGAAACCTTAGAACCTTAACAGTTCTGACACCAATTTCCCCAAATCTGACAAAGGGCACAGGAAAGAGGGACAAGTTGCAAAGATGGGCCAAATCGGATAAATCCCTTCAGCCACTTCTGATTCTTGTATCTTTCCTGTCTGCCAATATTCCAGCTACTACTATGCACTGGCAATGACAAGAAAATGGGAAAAGCCCACTGTCCCATAAAGAAACATACAAAATGTGTAGGGTAACTACAAAGTTGTCTGTATATAATCATGACTATGGTCACAAATGTAATACGCAGTAGCCTACAAAGAATGGGTAAGATGAAGACAGGAAGACCCCTTACAAAATGTTCCTCCATAGTGCACCAGCACATCACAGCTGAGCTCTGGGGCTAGATGACTGGTTTTCTGCTCATCTTAACCCTGATCCTCAACAATCTGCTTCCACAGTCACCTAAAATAGGACTGTGTAGATGGGATGTTTTTACCTAACTCTCCCCGGATTTGGGGACAGGGGACTGAAGCTGAGGAATATGCACGTCACACTACCCTTCCTAACCCCTGATTTGAGCCTCTCCCCACAATTCTACACCCTGTTTGGGATGAACAAACGGGAATACTTCCTTACATAACAAGCAATTTAAGTATGGAAAGCACTGCCAGAGCGGGCAGTGATGGTCACAGGCATAAACAGCTTTAAAAGGGGATTAAACAGATTCACGGAGGATAGGTCCATCAGTGACTACGAGTCATGGTGACTGAAGGGAACCTCCACATTCAGAGGCAAGAACCCTCTTCAAGTGCTAGAAGGCAACATCAGCGGAAGGCCTCAGTCTCTATGTCCTGTTGTTGGACCTCCAGAGGAAATGATTGGCCACTCTGTGAGACAGGATGCTGGACCACTGGCCTGATCCAGCAGGGCTCTTCTTACATTCTTATGTCCCCTTTGTTGTCTCCAGTGGTATAATTCCTCAGGACTGGAAGAACTTTTCTTCAGGGATTCCCATTACATCCACTATCAGAACGCTTAGCTTCAACAAGATCACAACCCTTACATTTCTTAAGAACATAAGAGACACCAATATTGGATCAGGCCAAAGGCCCATCCAGTCCAACACTCTGTCACACAGTGGCCAAAAATACCAGGTGCCATCAGGAGGTCCACCAGTGGGGCCAGGACATTAGAAGACCCCCTTGTCCACATGTTTGTTCACCCCCTCAAAGAACACCAACAGGTTAGTGAGACAAGATCTTCCCTTACAGTTCATAATTTCACTTAAAAAACCCACCATCTTACCCTCCCCCCCCCCATTCGGCTTCCCACAGTGCTCCAACCTCCTGTACAATTCTTATTTATTTTTTCTTCTTCACTAATTCAAAATACTCATAGGTAACTTAATTCTCTCTATATCAGTCATACAATTTTCTCTAATCTTTAATAACACTTAACTTCAATAATTGTCAAAGCTAAATAATCCGTCCCTTACATCCCAGTTCTTCTCCAAATAATCCTTAAGATCCTTCCAATCTGCAAAAAAGTCCCCAGCTTCTAAATTATTTAATTTCTTCATCATTTTGTCCATTTCAACCATGAACAATAATTTCTTAATCCAATCTCCAACTTCAGGTACTTTATCTTGTTTCCAACATTTGAGCATATGTCATTCTTGCTGTTGTAATCATATACCACATCAATGTCCTCTTTGCCACATTGAAGAAGCCCTCCCACTGTTAACCCCCCCCCAAGCACGAAGAAGACAGAGCATCACTTGCCCCAGAGTCCCTATCTATACCTTGTGGCTAATAGCATCATGGACTGGCACAGGGAGAGGTCAGTGAAAATGAGCCCCTCAGACATTCATCTCTTGACCCTTAATACCCCGTCAAGAACACTGTCAGGAGTTTGAGCAGCAACCCCCCCCCGCCACTTTGTTGTTTTCCCCTCTTTAACCAACACTCAAGGCCCTCAACATCCCATAGCTCCTGGAAGGCAATGAGCATGCTCAGTCTTCAGAATACTGTGTGCCTGTGTGGGGCTTCCTTCATAAATTTACCAAGTTCCCCCCCCCCCTTATATGGGGAGTGCCCCAAGTATGCAGAAGCCCCTTATCCTGTCTGTGGGTGGTCTGTTTTGTTGCCTGACAAGACACAGGACCATCAAGATCACTATTAGAAAGAGTGATGTTACTCCTTTCACCATTTAATGTCTTGGACAAGGCAAGGCAGGGGGAATCTCATCTCAGCATGGGGGCAAAAACTCCATTCCAACTCTGTGACTTTTCATTCCCTCCTTAATTCTCTACAATGGTGTTGGAGACAGTTGCTTACCCCAAGAAGAAGGCACACACTGTATCTTCCAAATTAAATTCGAAGTGTTTAAACAATGCAATGCTTCAAAGCAGCCAAAAGCCAGAACCCAGTCAATTGTTCAGTTAAGCTTTCCTGTGCAAATACATTACAGACTTAAGAGAACAATGGACAGTGGCTTTGCCACAAAAGAAACATTTCCTCCTGATGCAAAGAACTCAGCAAAGGGCAGATGTGTACAAAACTCAATTAGTTGCATGCTGTTAAACATCTGCAAGGAGTTCACATGGAGGTGTCAAGTGTTTCAAATCTGTAACAGATTTGTAAGCATGAACGAAAGTAGAGGCTTGAAGTCAAAGAACTGTTTAGTTAGTTCAAATTCACATGTGAAATTTAGATTCTTCTTCATCTGTCCCCCCCCCCCATTTTTGGCCCTCGTTTCCCCCCTTAGAGTGACAGTATAAGATACAGAATTTCCTTGGCAGACATTAAGTCTAGATCCTATGCCCTTTTGGCTACCTCCCTTTCTGCCCCTTCTTTCCTAGAACATGTGCACCGTTTTCTCTCTTATTCTTTAACCGTTGGGTCCCCTTTTCGTCAGCTCTGTAACTCTCCCACCCACTGTTTTCTAAGCTCTGTGCATTTTGGACCACTATCTGTATCCCAGCTTCTTCATTAGTCCTCTTTCCCTCCATCACTGAGACAGAGCCCCTCCGATCCTTAAGTACTGCAGAGGTTCTTCAGAGCCCCCTCATTCTCTGGTTCCCCATCTCCTCTGCCCTCAAACCCATTCTCCATCTACCCTTCTTTTAAGACTCTTCTTTCTCAGTCCATTGCCTGCTCTACATACTCCCTTGAGCATGTTTGTCTCTGGGCTTCCTTATCCCTCAACTTTACAGCCACCAGAGGCCTCTCCCCAGCCACTGGCCTGCCCCGTTATAAGGTTTAAATTTTAGCTGACTGACACTTGGTCTTTTCTCACAAAAACCAGACTACCAACTGTGTAGTTCCCTGAGCAACTCAAGCTTCCATGCCATCACACCAGCTCAGTCCATCAATGTCATTAGCTTATACACCACAAGTACAAAATGATACAGATAGAGCAGAAATAACTTCTATCATGTTCCAAGAATTCCTGCTCACTTTGATTGAATTTGTTTCTCGGATAACTTTGTTGATGTCATGGGCTTCCCCATTCAGTTTCCAAGGATTGTGCTGGAAGATGACTCCCTCTCCTGCACAGCTATACAAGGTTACCGAAGGTCTGTCACCATCGCCTCCTAAGAAAAAGAGAAAGAATAGTGCTAAATACAAGAAAGCGAATAAAGCAAGCACAGTGGCAATTCTGTCTGAGAGCTTACACTTTGAATGAAAAATTGGTTCAACAAAGTGCACACCAGCACAGCAGAAAGTATTAAGCTCTTTTTCACACATGAGGTTCTAACATCCTCTAAAGGCAAATGGCAGCTTTGCACAACACAGCCCAAGTCACTAATCTCTAGGAACAAGTAAACACTGGATGAAGAAACAGTCAACTGGCACCTCCCTGCCACTTGTGGCCACAGCAAACAGTGTTTTAAAATTTGTACTTGAAACCCCTTTAGAAACAGATTTTCATGCATTTCCTAGCTTGCAACACTGTCAGATTAATTATATAGTGCCATCAATATACAAGGAGCTTTACTAGGTAACCTAGGCAAAAGAGTTGCTTCCCAAAGAGCTTAAAATCTGAACTTGAACATGGATGTGGGGAAACTTACACCTTGCTTCCCAAAGAGCTTAAAATCTGAACACGGATGTGGGGAAACTTGCAGCAGGAAGGGTGTCAAGGTAATATGAAATGTGTGCAAACAAATGCAGTTACATGAACTTAGGCTTCTTTTCAGCTAGGGATAAGGACTAAAAGGGATCACTATCAATCAGTATGGTGCTGAATTAGGGATTCCCCACAATCCAAACTAAGGCAGCAGAAAAGCCCCATCTTGAATTGCTTTGCCAGGACTTCCTTAATCAAACTACTACAATTAATAATAAAGAATCATCACTGAAATAGTCATTTTATCACCAAATCAGATCTCAATGGCCTACAAGCACTCCAAGGCTGACCTGAGAAGACTGGGACGTTTCAGATCTACTTCAACAGAGCCCAACAATTTCAAGGAAGCCTCTTTTCCCTCATTATGCAACTTGCCTCCATACTGTGGTCTCACTTCTTTGGGATCTGTAGCTGCTCAATCTATGGTTCCCCTTCATTTTTAAATGAATGTGTGAATGTGTCTGTTTATTTATAGTCCACACAATTTAAAAGAATGCAGTAAAAACAAAGAATTATAACACCAACAACCAACAATGGATAGGGCTGAGTTACATAATTAGAGACCAATGCACTAAAACTGAATTCAGGAACAAAAAGACAGTGAAAATAGAAATGCCTCAGATGCTGAGGGATACAAAGTCCAGTCATTCTGCTACACATCCTCATGTATCAGATCACTATATTTCTACAGTACGTGTAAAGCACCGTTGCCAACAAAAAATACTGTGGCTGTAACAATTTGACTCACCAAAGGACAATGGAGGAACAGGAGGTCCCCAGGCTAACGTATACACAGTTTTCTTGTGGTAGGAACTGGAGATCTGCGGGGGCCTAATGACAAGAGAATGAACATCACCTTTAAACAGCTCTCACTGATCATGCATTATCTGATTTATAATTTTAACTCCATCAAGTTAGCCCTAGGAATTCAAGAAAATGCTTGGACTGCAGAAAAAAATAGTTAAGATGGCTGTATTGCACTACAATCTAACATTAAATGCTAGGCAATGGATGCTAGGCAATGGGTGAGAACCTACAAGTACTGGCCCATTACTTCACATCTGGGACGTTCATGAAAAGGTGCTTGGCCATGTCCTGGAGAGACGGATTACTGAATAAGGATGGCCTTTGAGTAGACAGAGGAAGAAACTGAGGCAGGTAGTCTGGACATGGTTTACATGGAAACTTGAATACAGAGGGCTGGAAAGAGGGGGTTTTGTATGTCTGAGGTACTAGATACATTTAGAAAGGATATTTTGAAATTTCTGTCCAGCTGAAGCCCACTGAATTCAGATAAAGGCTTTCTCCCATCTTCACATGATTTTGCTCCTCCTCCTTACTTCTTATTTGAGATATCAGAGACTGACACAGTATTTAGGGTAGCAGGATGCTTGGTCCAGTAAAAAAAAACTGTGGCACAACTCAGGGGCTGTGATTTACTAACATTTATGGTCTGACAGATTACCATATTTAAAGGAGATTTTTTTTCTTCCAGTTTAAGTGGACTAGCTTTTTATGTTTCCATGTTTCAAAGAGACAGAGCTATCTGTTCAACGGGTACAATTTTATGGGCCTCCAATTCTGCAGTATACTTTGGCTTCTTCTGCAAATGGATGATTGTTGCGGGGGGGAATTAGTGGTCCCTTCCAACTATATATTAGTTTTTAACCACCACAGTGGAGAAGGAAATGTTGAGTTACTATACAAAATAAGACTCTTGTTGGCAACAGCTAAAGGAACTGGAAATGTGCCCATGACAGAATAACTTTGGGTAAAAATTCTCATTAATGTTGGCATGTAGAAGTAGCTGGCAATAGCCTCTCTGTAACAGCTTCTCCCTGACAAGGTTGTCCAGTTAAAAACTGCTGACCATGCAGATTGCCCCATCTCAAGCACTAGTGACCACCAGAAATACATGGCACCAAGATGAAAACTCAGCATGCTATAGGAGCAACACAGAGGTTGTTTCCAGCTCCCACTGCATAGTGACTGCAATGCTGACCAAGTTTTGGTTCATGCCTTTCAATAGTTCCTTTAACCCAACCTTACTCCACCCTGCAATGATATCTGTCACATGCTGACTGGGAAGCTTATTTATTGTATTTATTTTATTCGATTTTTATCCTGCCCTCCTTGCAAACAGGCTCAGGGCGGATTACAAGGTTACACAGTCTCAACAACAAGAGTTAAATAATTAAAACAATAATTTAAAACAATAATAGAAACAGCAATCAGGCTTTGTGTTGCTATACTCAGTTAAGGTTAATCATAGACCCAGCGATTTCAGTAGGGGAGGCTAGAGATGGATTTTGGGTGTCCACCGCCTCAACCAAAAGCCCAGCAGAACAGCTCTGTTTTATAGGCCCTGAGGAATTGTAATAAATCCTATGACAGGGATCCGTGCTTACATTCTACAATCCCTTTGCATGGGATGGATTTTTAAAGGTTTTCACTGGTTTAGGAGCAGCTCCCCCCCCCCAAAGACGGTCAAAGTACTCATTTCTTACTTGCTAGAATAAGTGTTATACATGCCAACTTTCCCATCGTCTGTCCCAAAAGCTAAACAGCCTTCCTTAGTCGGATGCCAGGACAACTGCAAGCAACGAGAAGAGAAAAAACAGTTTCAACTCTACGATACCCAAGATGCATTTACACTATTGTGTGCCTTGCTGTTTTGACTCAGACTACTGAAGGATGAAAACTGACACGGTAGTTCTTTGCAATCAATTTGTCATAATTTAGGCATTTAGGGGCACTGCTGCAAATACCCCCAAGTCCTGGACTCTCTGACTATGAGCCAAACAGTTACATTTTTTCTGTATTTGAGGATTTTTAAAGAATGGGGCATATAAGGAAAACTCCCAACCATGCCCTCTCAGAGGTCCAGGGATGCCCAGGTTCCTTCTAGCTTTTGAGATTCCTAGCCATACTAAAAATCAAAAACATTGAAGACACATTCAAAATAAAATAAGGTGCCAAAAAAGTGTGTGACAAAATCTGTATTACCTAAAAATTATATCTTTTACTAAGTCGCAGTTTATATTTGTTGAAATTTGCAAATCTAAGGGGTTAGATCAGGTATATAAAATAAAATAAACGTCCAAATTTTGGTCAGACAGGGACACATATAAAAACAAGCTGTTAATATTAAATGCCAGAATTTTAGTTCCGCTTTTCACTTGAGGCCCAGGATAAAAAATCACCCTGCTCCTAACAAGGGGGTGTATCCAACCACCCACAGACTTAGCAAAGTGGTACTTTCCTGCTTCTTCCTTCTGCCACATCCCACCAAACCCCCGAAGTATCGTTGTTGTGGGGGGGGGGTCAGCAGACTTTCAGGGACAGCACAGGGACAAAGTGGGAGTCTTCTGGGGGCCTGGAAATCAGCTGGAATCGGCACCGCTTCTGCAAATGGAAATTGCTACTCCGCTGGAGAAACTGCCAGGTCTCCAAAATTTTAGGAAACCCAAAGTGAGGCATTCCATTGGCCTTGCAGTGTAATCACAAAGTCCACACTTCTAAAAAGCATTATGGAACCATGGCCAGCGAGGCAGCCTATTGTGCAGACTCCTGCTTTAATTTAAAATAAATAAGACCTGCAGCATACTTACAGCAGTGACCTTGGATTTAATGCCCTGCCAGAAGGTTTTCACATCATAGTGATTGCTTAGTGACAAGGTGTTCCACACCCGTATCATGCTGTCTCCAACACCTATAGCGAGGCAGCCTGTGTCCACTGGGGAGAACGCCAGGCTATAAACGAAGCCCCCAAGAGTTGGCATCGTCCAACAGCAGTTTAAAGTTGCCAGGTCCCAACACTTCACCTGAAGAAAAAATAAAAGCATTGCAAATAGAAGCATCACAAAAATACTGAAAAGTTCAGGGGCAGGTGTTATTAAAAGTATTCCGCCAGAAGGATACGATTTACAAATAAGAGTATGGCAGAGAAGCAATTTGTTCCAAGGGTAAGTAGCTGGTGCAGCAGCCTGAAATTCAGGGAACCAAGAGCTTCGACACTCAGAGGACTGGCAACAGCCTGTATGTGACTGGAGAGCAAATGTGCTTCATCACACAGTCGACATCATGTTATGTGGGGCTCATACAGATACTGAAAGGTGCATCACCCCTCAAAAAGGTGATGGGGGCACTAACTGCACCAACTGGACATATCCGTGGAACACCTGCATCATATGTGATGCCACTTGCATGTTGTGAAAGGACAACGTGCCTGTTACTCAACCATGTGATGAATGTGTAAACTTAAGACTATGCTGGGGACACAGAACTGTTTTCCCATCTGTAGAGATAACGTTATCACCTCACTTTCCAAACATGGCTTGTAAGAACAAACACTGCCAAGGCTACAACATATATCCCATACAGAAACCCTATAGACCAAAAGCAAACATTTTATATGAAAGAGCTTGCTCTGCTTTGAAAACTTCTACTTTGTTAAGAGGCGGGAACAGGAACAGAACTAGCTACCCCCACCCCCTTACGTATGAAATAGAGGAAGAAGCAGGACTTCTATTTTCGGTGCTGGACTGAACATCTCCTCCTAAAAAGTTCTTTTCAATAAGTGGAAAACTCAGAAAAAAGTCAGAGATCTCTCGTGTCATGCTCAGATTAGGAAGATGACCAGTAGAAGCAATTCATGGCCACTGACCAACATCTAGCAGGCCCACTCATTCACAAAGTTCTACAAACAGCTTTCATCTGCTTCTAGAGTATATTAAAAGATATGAGTTCTTACATCTCTATCCATTGAAATAGAGAGAAGTAGCTCTCTGCCTTCTGACTGCAGAGAGCACAAGTTGAACACTATTCTAGAGTGGTTTTGTCCTTCAGAGGAAGATCCTAGAATCACCCACTTCCGTTTTCCAGGTTGGGCTAAATCCCACTGCAGCAGTTCACCTCTGAAAGGAAAGACGGAAACATGAGAGAACCAGACACAAACACACCCAACCAAACAGCAGTAAATGTAATTTATACAGGACTTACATGAGAGAACCAGACACAAACACACCCCAATCAAACAGCAGTAAATGTAATTTATACAGAACTCTCTTTTTTTGACAGAACGTGTCACAACAAACATTATCATTATAAGCATTATAAATGGGACAGGCTGGTGAGAGACCACCAACTCGTGTATAAACCTCCAGAAACATGGAAGTTCAGCATGCCCCTGATTGGTTTTCTACATGAAGCCCCCACACCCACGGTTTTAGTACAGTTACACATTCCATCAAGTTACTCCAGCAGACTACTCACCCAAAGCAGCTGGAGAAGATCTGTGTGGGCTGGGTTCGGGGCCAGTGCACAGTCAACCAAAGGCGCTCCTTGACAGCAGACTCAATACTTCCACCTCTCCTTTTTAAAAAGGGCAGCTTCAGAGTCATCACAGCTACAGAAACAAAAGCATTTCAGAGTACCAAACGAGAGTCTGGCAGGCTCCACTATCACTAGGCCAGGGGGGAGACAGAGAAAGACTGGCCTCGAGCGCAACCATTTTTCAGAACATAAAAATGGTCATCTCACTTTCCAAGAACAAATTAAGGGTGTACTGCAGGCAATCAAAGAGGTTATGGGGGTATTCTGGCATCAGTCTTTAGAACAGAATCTAATTCATATCCCGAGAGTAGGAACCATCAATTCTTAGGTCTGCCCAGGAATTCTCCTATCATAAGAAGCATCTTCTCAGTTCTTTCAGCCTCTGTTAAAAGCAGTACCAGCAATTACATTGTGGTGGTCACTGGGACCAATCTGTGAGGTGGCATTATTTTCAACAGCCACATGAAGATTAAAACCTTACTGATTGAATTAAAGCAATGCATTAAACGCTAAACCACTGCACTGCTTGGTGACTGAATATTCCCTTACAGCATTAAGTCACTGCAGGACACAGCCCTCCATAGGCAAGGGTCCCCAACGTTTTTGAGCCTGCAAGTTCCTCTGGACTTCTGCCGCAGCATGGTGGACACAGCCACAAAATGGGTGCTGCAGGAGGTAGAAGCAGTGACAAAATAGCTGCCCCCAGCTTACTTTCAGTCACACAGTGAAGATCTTTGCACTGTCGTGGCAGCTGCTGCCAAATAATGTTTTAAAAAATCTGCAAAGTCCATTAAATTTCCAATGGCCAATCAAAAGCCTTGCTAGGCAAAGGTCCCACCCATTTTCTATAAAACATTTGTTGGGCACCAGAAAAGGTGTTGGCAGGTGCCTTGGCACCCACAGGCACCACGGTGGGGACCCCTGGCTCCAGGGTTTTTTTTCTAGAAAAAGCCCAGCAGGAACTCATTAGCATAATAGGCCACACCCAACAGCAGAAACTCATTAGCATATTATGCCACATCCTGACAGCACACCATATTAGCATATTAGGCCACACCCCATGCCTTCCCTTGGCTTGCCTGGGCACGCCCAAAAATAGCCCTGCCTGGCTCTAAGGAAAACACTGAAGTTTATTTGTTTGTTCCAGATTCAAAGGGAAACCCTGTATTTCCCAGCCAACAAACCATGTATTAACTAAAACTTAAAGTAAAAATAATCTGATTGCTCTAGATCTGATTTAAACAAAATATTAAACAGTTACACAGAACATTGGCATACCCCCCATAGAAATCAGTCCTATATAAACATACCTTCATTCCTATTCTACCTAAGTAGACTTTAAGAAAAAAGATTAAGGTTCAAAACTTCTAACTCAAAAGTCTTCCCCAAAGAGCAGAAAGCAGATTTCACTGAACTCCAAATCTGAGAGATTCAGGAGTCGTAGGGTGCAGCCAGCAATTACACAGGCAAACACATGGCTTTACTAAACCTTCGGATTTGTGCTCTCTAAAGGCATGCTGTAAGACACATCTGAGCATCGCTAGGAATAACTGCTGCAAACACTGCTCCATTTGTCTTTGGATTTCTTCTGGGCATAAAGCCATTTGTTCGCAAGTTACCCTTCGTAAGGCTGAAAACAAAGTCTGCTAGAACAGTGGGGGGAAAACGTATGTTTGCATATTTACACAAGAACCTAAAAGCAAACTCTCAGGCCCACTGTCTAAACATCCTGAACAGTGAGAGCAATGCTAAGCAGGTGTACTCAAAAATAAGCCCCATGCTATTCAATGGGGCTTATTTCTAAGGAAGTGTCCTTGAAGTCTTTTTCACATTTATTCAGGCTTTCTGCATGTTGAAAAACGCTGACTATAACTACCGTTTTATTTTTTCTAAAAAGGAACTACAGTGCAGCATGAATGAAACCAATTTTGGGGGGGGGGAAATACTATATGCATCTTTTGGGAACCTCTCCCTAAGCTTACCTCTGCTTCGAGTATAGCTCCAAACACGGATGGTCTGATCTTTGCTTCCTGAAGCCAAGTAACAGCCTTTTGTTACTGCCGCTGCCTCTTCCAGTAGACATCCGTTAACAGCATCCTCTTCCAAAAGAACCATAAAATTAAGTTACAATGGCACTATATTTTATTTTTAATTGCTGCTGTTTTCATTCATCCTATTTAATTTTTTTGTGATGGCTAACTGTATGTTGTAAGCCACCCTGACAGTCAGGAAAAACAGGAGTAAAACAAATAAAACCATTTGTGTTTCTTTGGGCTGATTTAGATCAGCGGAGGTCTACTACAGAATTACACACTGCTCAATACAGCTTGGAGAAGTGCACACAAGCACTTGCATGTACCTTGACCCTCTTCTGGCCGGCTGGTCAGACCTTCCTCACCAAGTACAGGGCTCCAGGCCAGGGAGTGTATTTCATCATCGTGGCCTCTCAGGCGATGGACAACTTCTCCCTTCCTGCTGATGTCAATTATAACCACGATCCCATCTTTATAGCTTAAAGTAAAAGAGGCATTTCTAGTTAATACAGATCTACTAAGTTTCGTCAGGTACAGTTCACAAGAGAGGGGCTACCCACTGAAAGACCAGATTCCAGGAATTATGACTTCTAAAAACTGAACTATGTTTTGCATAGAGATTCTGTAACAGAGTGAAGACAGAAAGTAATTAGGAATTGCCTAAAGTGTTTCACGTGTTAATAACTGCTCCATGAAATTAAGGATTTCAATATTTTATGTGAGTAATACTGGCCCAGCTGGTTGGAACACTGCCTTGCCTGCTAAGAACTGTTTTCTGAAAAAGAAATGCTACATAAGACAATAAAGATGCATATAACTCATGTGAAAAAATGCTACTGAGAATCAAAAATAAACTCTCTTGGAATTTTTATTGCTTGTAATACAATTTTTTTAAAAACCTTTGGAACAGCACAAACATGGTAACTCTTACTTTGGTCCAAAAGCAGGACCAAGACTATAGTACTAATGTCTTCAAAAACATAAGCATTACCTTCTATCACATTCACACATTAAGCCTAGATAAAACCTGACATATTCTGCAGTCATTATTCACTTCTGCAACAATCCTCTATGCTGAACTGAGTGCTCAACTGAAGTTATTTTGTTTTCTGAAATACAGAAACTGACACAAACTGTGTAAGGAAAGAAAAAAGCTAAAAAGCTCCAGAACCGCACTTGCTATATGCCTGTGAACAGCCATAAACAGCTTTGCAGCATAAGCCAATGTTTGTTTACTCAAAAGTAAACTCCTCTATTTTCAATCAGACTTGCACTCAAGGACAGATGAACAGTACTGCATTATTTTTCATGGTTTGTTGAGATGGCTTAATAACTAGTAGCCCAGCAGAGGACACTTACTTAAAACCAATAAAACAAAATTGATAAAAGTATAATTTGACTTCACATTATGAGTAACAAGCAATGTAACCTGCCAGGACTGCAATCTGAACTATTCTGGATATCAGACTTGGAGAATTCTTAAGGTTTGCTGGTTACTCCAAGGGTTACATGAACACATGAACTTACTTTATACCATGTCAAGTCATTGGCTTGCCTAGGTCTGTACGTTCTACTCTAAGTGGCAGTGACTCTCCAGCGTTTCAGATAGAGGTCTTTCATATGCCCTACTCCGTAATATGGGTTTTTGGGAAAATCTGAATTGGAAATTTTCCCATTCAAATTTAAACAATTTCTTGTCCCACAAATGCTTCATATCCCACACTTCGACCATCTAACATGATTGACTTGTAGCATAACAGCCCGGATAACTGCAGATAATAAGATTTTATTTACATATGTGGGGTGGAAAATTTTCTTTTGAAAAATACAGCATCAGAAAATTTTCCTGCCCCATATCACTGCTCCTACTATCCGATCCTTTTACCTAGAGAAACTATGATTGAACCTGGGTCCTTCTGTGTGCAAAGCTGAGGCTCTGCCACTGAGTCATGGCCCCTCCTCAAGCAGGAGGCAATGTTGAGCACATTCTTTTAGGTGCTCTGAAGAAGAAGCTGAGTGCAGGCTGTGTTCATCAGTTCATCTCATGCTCCCCACAGGTGAAACCTTAAATTTAGACTCTGATCCTCAGAGCCAGTGAAGGGCCATCAGTGTGGAGATACAAGAGGATCTGGGAATGTTCTCTTCCTCCCAGTGGTGAAAACTGCTGGACATATTAAACAATTAGTCCAGCAAGAGATCATTTGTCTGTATTGTGTGTTGCTCATTCTGTGGGGCCAAATACATATGTAGTTCTACTAGTACTTACCCAATGGCCACCAAGTTCTCATGGTGTGGAGAACAAGTGAGACAAAATATAGTCCTGGGTTCTGGAAAGAATTTCTGACTGTCACTTCTATTGTACCAGTAGCAAATTACTATTCCCTTCTCATCACCAGACACAACTAAATCTTTCACCTCGGGTGACCAGTGCAATGCAGAAATTGTATTCTGAAAAAAGCAAAGAAAAAAGAAAAGAAAAGTGTGAAATTAAAGGTGGATGTTTGAAGGCTCAGTCTTTGTGTAGAACAGGATTCAGCTACAGTGGCAATTCCCACCTCCTTTTTTGGTGGGTTTTTTTTTTTTTTGGTATTTCTCATATGTACATGTGCATGTGTGCGTGCAAGTGTGTGTGCACCTGGAAGTCATGGCACCTCTGGTGAATGACCCCTACTGGGGGCCTGGAGGATATTCAGAGAGGTGGCTGAATAAAGGCTGCCCCCGCCACCTGACTGCTGGTATTCCAAGGAGGTCTCCCATCCAAGTACTTGCCAGAGTCGACCCTGCTTAGCTTCTGAGATCTGACGAGATTGGGTTTGCCTGAGCTATCCAGGTCAAGACTAATTTCCACCTCCTTGAAGAACGCCAGGTATTCCCTTAAATTGGCAACCTGGAGGCAGAAGAGATAATGAGAAAATGACACCTGTGGCAACACAACTTTTTGGCAGGCCACTTTACGGGTAGGGGCTGAGGCACTGTCCGCTCAGGTTTTACCTGCTTGTCAACATAGCCCTCCAGAAAAGCTAACTACTAACCATAGCACAGAAAAATTTATTTATATCTATCTTTGTTCCATCATAGAACTCAAGGTTGTATATACAGTTTCCCAAAAGGAATCTCACAATCAGTCTACGATAACAATGAGACCAAGATTGCCTGGATGAGTATTCCAATGCAAACCAGACTGCAGGCTTTTTCCCTGGCTCAAACATGAGACTGAACACAGGAACTTTTCCCAAGGATAGAAATCCAGAAGATCATGTATTTTCCCCTTAAACCCCCAGCAAGAGACCTAAAACACTCAGACCATCACTGCTTCTCACCATGGACCACAGTACAGAAAAACATAAAGTGAAATCAGCATGCTCAAGAAGCCTTTTAATTTCCTTGGGTACAGCTATTCACATTTTTTGAAATTCAGGTTGTCAGGCACGCCAGCCTCTCTCCAAAAAGCAGTGCAACGTCTCCCGTCCTAGATAGATTGCCCCACATCTCACTCTTCCTTTTTTGCTGGAACCCAGCAAAGACCTGGGAAAGAAGCACTTCCAAAAATTTATCTATGTTCAGACAAACAGATAACAAAAAGGAAGACACCAGAAAAATATTTGGGGGTCTGAAATTCGACCAAGAGCAATTAAAGGTGGATGGATTAGTACTGTAGCATTTCCTTGTAAATTTTCTAGCCTGTAATCCTGAATGTATTTATGTGAAAGTTAACCCTGTTGAAATCAATACGGTTAGAATAAAGATAAAAGAATAGAAATAAGCTGATAAAAGAACAGAAATAAGGGTTATTTATTTATTTCATTTCATTTCTACCCCGCCCTCCCCGCACGCAGGCTCAGGGCAGCTTACATAGGCACAAAGTCCAGTAAAGATAAAACAGGTTAAAACAATTAAGACTAAAATTCACATCAAACATGTTAGTGAGAATATTTCCGTTTTCATCATACCCTATAATCTTATTAAACTAAAATTTAAAGTGATGTCATTCAACAGAAGATGACCCATAAATTTCTACTTTACTACAGAATGTCCAGCAATTAGAGATGTAGCTTTTATACAGTTACAGCAGTTCTATTTTACCTGATGCAGCGTATGTTCCGTTACAGTAGCAAATGTCTGCAAATCCCAGATTTTCACAGCTCCATCATCAGAGCTGCTGGCACAGTAGTTGCTCTGACCAGGGTAGTGACAAAACGAGAAACCAGAAACCCTCTCAGTGTGGCCCACTAGCTCACCTGTGGTGACAAAACATCATTGCTGTAAAATCAACTATTTACTTAAAAAACCCCCCACAAAACTCATGTAATTAATTAAAACTTATTTCTGACACATTGTTAGGATTACTTCTAGGTTATGCTTGAAACACTTCAGTCTCATTAGCCCCAGAAGTGGGAGTACTGTTATTAATGGAATGCATACCAAAATTGGAAGACAGCTTGAACATTATTACGTGCACAAGAGACATCATCAGTGAAACACAACCAATCCTGGAATACTTTAGAAGCAATATTTTGTTCTGTACAAAATAAAAGTGGCTGCTGTACACCAGTGTTCCCTCTAAGCTGAGTTAGTGTGAGATAGCTCACAATTTTTTAGCCTCCGGCTCACACATTTTTGTCTTAGCTCAGGAAGGATGGCTCCAGAGTAAACTAATTTATGCAGTAGCCAAATCACTTGTTCACAACTTTAATGCCAGTAGCTCACAAAGTAGAATTTTTGTTCATAGGACTCCACAGCTTAGAGGGAGCACTGCCTGACCACTGGACAATCATTTTGTACATGATAAAAAGCTCTTATTTACTTTGAATCCTATCTGAATTCATACAAGTTCCTTTATGAAAATAGCTGCTCAGAGTGCCTGTGCTCACAATGAAAAAATAATCAACCCTGAGGTGATTAGGTGTGAGATGATCTTGTGAATGAGGGAAAACATGGTAAATATAGCATTAAGACAGTTAAAGCTGAGACATCTTGACACCTTCTGTTACAGATTTTTTTTCCTTGCTATAGCCTCACTTTTGTAGAAAGCTATACTTTCTGTTACAGAATTATTTTCTTGTTATAGCCTCACTTTTGTAGAAAGAAGAAAAAGAAGAGATTGGATTTAGACCCTACCCTTCACTACCCAAAGTAGTCTCAGAGTGGCTTACAATGTCCTTTCCCTTCCCCTCCTCACAACAGACATGGTGAGGTAGGTGGGGCTGAGAGAATTCTTTCAAGAACTGCTCCTGAGAGAACAGCTCTGAAACAACTTGTAAGCGACCCAAGGTCACACCAACATCTGCATGTGGAGGAGTGGGGAATCAAACCTGGTTCTCCCAGACGAGAGTCTGCACTCCAAACCACTATGCCAAACTGTAAAACTACAGTTTCTCAGCAGAATGCAAATCGGTTTTTGACTCAAGACTGAATTTAATATGTCAAGCTACTCCAAAAAAGACTGCCTACCAAAATTATTCAAGAACATATAACTTTATGAATATAAAAGATGGGGAAAATTAACTTTAGCAAGTGTTGGGCATAGATCAGAACTCAAATCCAAGCCTCAAATAAGGGCTTGCTGGGTAAGGCTTTTGAGGGTCATTATTTCTTCAGTTACAGCTCTCTGGACACATACTTTGAAATAAATCTCACTGAACTGCAGTAGTCACACACATAACCAGATTGTTAGCCTCAGCTACCAATCTATAAAAGGTATATTACAGCAAGCTGCTACAATTCAGTTACACAATAGTTTATCTCCAAAAGGCAACTTTCTAAACCTAGAGCAGTAATGCCAGTTGTAAAGAAAATAAGAATTGTCCTAGGCCAAATAACCCACTATTCCCCCGCCCCAAGTCTCTGGGAAACTCAGTAGTAGGGTGCAAAAGTAGGAGCATTCAGCTCCTGTTTGTTCTTCGTATCGAATATTTAAAGATATACTGCCTCTGCCCGAGGAGGCTCCACGTTCGCTCTCTTGGCTATTAGATCAGGCGGGAAATCACTTCCCCGCTTTCTGACGCAGTGAGCTTTGACTCACGAAATCTTAAGAATTGGAAAAAAGTTTTGCTCTTTTAACGTGCCACTGGACTCGAGGAAACTTGCACCCAGGGATGGTCCAGCGCGAAGGAGATGCGGAGAACCGACTGGGACAGCAGGGGCATCCCGGACTCCTACCGTGGAATGCTGGCACGCCGGAACGGACCACCAGGAGACAAATGTTATTGCGAGCCGCGAAACCGAGAAGGCTCCCATCCGCCGAGGCGTCACTGCAGCGGCTGCAGTACCAATTAGGTGAAGTCGGCAACACCCGCTCGGGTGCCCCGACACCCGCAGCAGCCATCAGTCGTCCTACTCCCTTCCAAGACAGCGGCACGCTACGCCTCCACTCGGCTAACTAGGAACCGGCCATGAGCGCACATCGCCGTAAAGCACCAGTTGCCTCCCCACGTGCTGTCGCAAGAGAGACACACGCAAGTGGCACTACGGCGGTTCGCTGCGGACAAACTACATAACGCGTCGTAAAGCAGACAGATTAAAGCGTTTGCGTCGTGAAGCAGACAGATTAGGGACGAAGGCTGCTAAAAGAAGGCGGCAAAGATGGCGATGCCAAAGATTCTTGGGGGTGAGTTAGCGGGGGAAAGAGGGAGCTGGCGAGTTTGGTAGGAGGAAAGCGCGTAATCCGAGACGCAGATTTTGGAGTTCATTTTCAGGACTTTCACGTGCTTGATGGGTTCTTCTAAGGTTGCTTTGTATGCTTGTTTATGGAGATTTCTGCGCAGAAAAGGTGATGTGGTTAGGATGGGCCCCAAGTATCTGGGAGAAAGGAGGGCTTATTTATTTTATTTATTCATGTTATTTATCGTCCTCCTTTCTTACAGGGACTCAAGGCGGATCACACGTAGTGAGTCAGTAGTACACTCAGAAAAATGGGACATTCAATAACCAGTGCGAAACTGAAGCAGACCATTTGACATTAAGCAGTACAGAAATTACAGAATAGGATCCTGCTTACAATAAGTAATTTTGTGAACAATTTTGTATAGTGCAGCCTGTGCAGAAAAGCCCTCATGAATAGTTCAGTTTTGCATAGTTTGCAGAAGCCTAGGAGAGTGAGGAGCTTTGTGCAAAGTGTTTTAAATAAATAAAATAAAAATTATTGATTTTATTTATTTTTTCGAATTCAGACTACAGCAAAAAAGGAGATCTGAATTCCAGTCCCCACTCTGCCATGAAACTCAGTGGGTGAGCTTGAGCTATTCACTATGTTTCAGCATAGCTACCTCACAGGGTTGTTGTGAGGAGACAGGAGAGAAGAATTGTGGAATAGAAGGAAGGGTGGAACAGAAACAATAAATATAAATAAAGCCTATAAAGTGGAAATAAGAGGCAGTAGTTAACAACTACATTTCATAGTTGTTAATTATTGTTAATTAATGTTTCCTTTCTTTAATGTTTCTTTTCTTTCTTTAATGTTTCCTTTCTTTTAGGGATTACCCATGCTTTGAGTCTTAGCAGCTGGGCCCAGGCTGGAAGGTGAGTCTTTATAGCAGGGGAGGAAAACAAGCCCAAAAGTAACAGCACTTTCGATTTTGGGGAATATTACAAAAACTCCTATGAAATGTATTCTTTTTTAGAATGAGTGAAATCCTTTTAAAGACAGGATAGTCATGCTGTAGGCATATACAGATGCATTTCTGCACCTAGAAGGATTCCTAATCTTCATGAGAGAAGCATGCATGTCTTTCGTTGCTTCTCAACAGCTATATGCCTTCTGTTGTCCTTTTGACCTGATGTGGTTGACACATTTACCCATAGACTGGGTAGAAAGTAGCTTATTGCTCTACCTTGCAGGATGAGTTTCTCCCCACCTTCATCTCCTCTTTCCTCTCTTTGTTATCTTCTTTACCTCAAATTTTAGATCATAAACTCTTTGGGGCTTGTATTGTATGCTGGTCTTAAGACCGTAATAATAATAAAACTTTTTTAAAAAGCTCTTCGGGGCAGGGACTTGCCTTCCTGTGGTCTGTAAAGCATCATGCCTGTTGCTGTTCTGTGTAACCTACCATTTGATTCATCTGCATGCAAACAAATTTATGGGTTCCAGTTGGGCAGCCATGTTAAGTTTGTGTCAACAAAAACAAAAAACCTGTGGAATGTAAAAGACAAGTATTGCTACATAAGCTTTTGCCGGCTTGATCCTTTTTGTTGTTGTTGTTTAAGCTAATGTTGTAAGGCAGGCCAGCTGCACCTTAGAGTGCTATGTAACTCAACCAGAAGTAAACACCTGAGAATTTTTTTTTCTTTTCAACTCAAGTCCTTGGGGGAGGGGGGTGAATAAATTTAAAACCAGATCCCCCACTTCAGTGATTCAGTAAATTCGGATCATAATTCTGTGTATATAATTAGTACACCAAGCCTGAATATAAAATTAATCACGGTCTACTCTATTATTTGTATGTTGAAAGATTCCAGTACCACTGAAAGTTGGCTTGAAGACTGAAGGACTTGTTACCAGTTTGCTGTAGTGGTTAAGAGTGCGGACTCTTATCTGGGAGAACTGGGTTTGATTCCCCACTCCTCCACATGCAGCTGCTGGATGACCTTGGGTCAGTTACAAGTTCTTTCAGAGCTGTTCTCTCAAGGGCAGTCCTCGAAAGAGCTCTCTCAGCCCCACCTGCCTCACAGGGTGTCTGTTGTGGGGAGGGGAGGGGAAAGGGATTGTAAGCCTCTCTGAGACTCCTTTGGGTAGTGAAGGGTGGGGTATAAATCCAATCTCTTCTTCTCTCCAGCCCAGGTTTCTCTGTCCCCCTTCATAACCCTTCGTTTTTTGTTGCCAAGCAAAAAGCGGGGTGAAATAGATGGGAGGTATTTCACCTCTCGCTTTCTGCTGGCCTCAGCTTTTCACAGTGAGCAGAAAACTAGGGGTGAAATGCCTCCCAGCCACTTCACCCCTGCTCTTTGCTCACCGCTAAAAGCTGTTTTTTGTGAAGAACAGAAAGCAGGGGTTTAAATGGCTCATATCCATTTAAGCCACTGTTTTTCACTCTTCACAAACTGTAGTAGAATTCATGGACATTTGTGGCAGCTGTTCACTTTGCAAACATCACTTTCCAAAAGCTGTTTTTTGTGAAGTTTGTGACGAACTTTAGTTCATGAGCCAGTTCATGCCCATCCCTAATTAGCTACATCATGATTGACTGTAACATATAGAATGCTTTAGGCTACAGCTTGGATTCTTATGTTGCAAGAAGATGTGCTATCTAGTGCTAGGCACAAAATGTATGAGATAGAAAATTAGCTTTTTTATTTCTCTGTTGCTTAGCTATAGGGACTGTACTGCCTAGTGATATCCTTTAAAAATTGTTCAATTAAACCTTTATATCTTTTTACAAAGGTCTGCTTTATTTGTGTGCATTCAGCCTCAAGGACCCTCAGGGCTGGTTGCTGCTCAGCTAAAAGGAGTGGTGACCCAGGGGGACGCGGGCTTGGGTCTCTGACACCAGGAAATCCATCTTTGGGAGACAACTGCACGTACAGCAGCTGTTTCAGAGTTTAACTTTGCTGCAGGAGCTCCTGTAGTCAAACAGGCATCACACAGTTTAGTTTATACACAAGCTTGTCTTATCAGCAGTGAACATCGCTGTGGCAAAAATGCAAATGAAATTCCAGTGGCATGTAGAGTTCTCTTGGGTACATACATCCCTTTTTGAATTCCACCAGTCATGCAGTTTGGGTAATGTTTCTTTAAAACATTATTTTAGCATTTTTTCATTATATTATGATTAAATATTTATGAATTTTATTCACTTATATAATGTGACCTGTCCTAAAAGCAATTAACGGTTACACTGTATTCAGACTTTACTTTAAAAACTATTAGTTGTTATTTTTCCGGAGATTGATCCAGTTAGTGACACACGTGCCAATACATGATGAGATTTGGGCAGATTATCTTCACCAGGTTGGGACGCCTGCCTTGTTGCTCCAGGAGATTTTATTATCCTTATAGTGCGTCACGAAAACATATTGGCTCTCTTGCCTTAGTAATGGGCAAGCAAGAATGGAGGGGTTCATTTGCCCCAGTGATGTCACCATATGCCAAATCTGATTGCCTCTATGGCACCATGATGTCATCACACTGGCTATGTGGATCCAGATTTGCTGGGATTACATAGACAGCAGAAAGAACACATATTTTAAAAGATGCAAAAGCAATTGTCAGGAGGGGCAGCAATCATAGTTTTAACAGAAGTGGAAAATGTGAAGATTTGGGATTTTAGCAACAAAAATGTCTGCCACCAACCCCTAACATTTGAGGCAGCAATAATTAGTTCATGATTGGGTTTTATGTTGTGCAGTACTTGTATTGGATTAATAATGTAAGTACACATGGATCTTTCACTGGCAGTCTTTAGGAAAAAAACATGTTTTTGTGCTGCACTACAGGGACAATAATCCTCCAGTGCAACAGGGCAGGTGTCTCAATTTAGTGAATAAAATCAGGCATTGCAGTGTAAATAGGATTTGAGTGTAGACGCTGTCCAGCCTTATGGTGTTGCTGTCAAGGGGGTGTATTGCAGAAAGCAATGCAGTACATATAGCATTAGATAACAGTAGATAATAGCTTTCCATTAATGCAGAATGTCGTATGGGAAAGATGTGGGAATAGTACAGATGTGTAGGTCTTTAAAAAAAAATTACTGGGGTTGTACTCTAGTGTAAGTGCTTATTCAATCTCCTCCTTAGTTTGTTTAAGGTAATTTTAGTGGACTGTGTGAAGCAAGGGCAATAGCTTGCAGAAATAGAAAATATAAACAATACAGTCACATAAAGTGGTGTAAAATAGTTTTTGATTTATAGATAATAAATCAATTAATGCTTTTAAAAATGAAATATAATTTATATTTCTTTAAAGTATGTTTAGGATTATTATTCACCTAGTGCAACAGCCGTGAGCACTAGATGGCGCTATCACCTAACTAACGTAGGATTATGATTTACTGGTCTGCTAGTTGCTTATTCCTGGTAAAGGCATTTTTTCTGTTTCTCACTTTTTCCATGTCGAAAGAACCATACCATTAGGTTCACTTGTCCAACAGGGCTTCACATATTTGTTCTTTAAAATACATCATCAACTTTTATGTTTAAATATACTACAAGGCAGCTTGTAGTATAACTTGAAAGCAAAAAAGTTTTAAAAATAATGGGGTAACAAGATGAAAGCGTACAATAAAAAGAAGAAAGCAGGCAGTAAAATCAACAAGATCAAAGCTTGAGTTAAAACAGGCAGCAAAATCAATAAAAATAAAATCAAAACAGGTCAGTAAGCAGTTTGTAGAAATATTCCAGAGGCAATAAAACTTCAGAGCAGACAGCAGAGATTTTATAAAAGGACAAGGTAGGATAGTCAATAAAAACTTCAACCAGGGCAAAATGAAAACAAACAAAAAATTAAAAATGTAAAACTGTAGAAAGGGGTAAATAAAAGCATTTTCACCTAGCACCTAAAAGCTTGCAAATTTGGTATTGGGCATACTTCTGTAGGAAGCTATGTACCACCATAGAAGAAGTACAGTCTTTAGTGTACACCGACCTTGCCTCTGTTGAGACCCACAGAACAGGACCTTTAATGAATACCTGGTGGGTAGATATGTGAGAGGATAGCCTTTCAAGTAACCTGGGTTAAAACTATATTTGTCTTGATAGGGAAGAACTACACCTTGGAATGGTGCTAGGAAGCAAACTAAAAGGCAGTGCAGATATTTCAAGACTAGCCTGATCTTTATAGATAACATGTTGTGAGAGCTCCTTTGAATGACCGGGAGGGCCATCTCAGGATTCTACTATTCCTCTGTGGGCCAGTATGTTCCTGCAACTATTAAGGTATTCACCGCTAGAGTCATTGGGCAGGTGCGATATGCTGCTGGGGTCTGGATTAGAGCAGTAACAGGCAATATTGATAAACCACTACTAAAATTCCTGCATGATATCTTAGGAGTTCCTCAGTGCGTTTCTGGAAGCGAAGGCCTGGGAAGCGAAGGCCTGGGAAAGAGCATTTAATCTGAAATTTAGGATATTAAAGTCAAATCCAGAATCAAGCTTTCTTGGGCTAGTTAAGCTGAACCACCATATACTACTGGATCACAAATTGTCATGCCTGGGTATTATACAGAATGCAATGGAAACAATGAGTAGTCAAGAATTGACCCAGCCAACTAGAAGATGTCTTAGGGACAATTATGACAGCATGCTGATCATAGCCCACGGTGAGTGTCCATCCTTCTCAATTAGCATTCTCCCTCCAAAAAAATTGCCAAATTATCTATCTGAGTTAATTATTCCAAAGTATAGAAGGGCTTTTATGCTAGCGTGCCTGAATGCCCTACCTTCAGCAGTGATGCTAGAAAGATTCAGTGGAATTCCATACTCAGACTCTGCAGTTGTAGCAGCAATAAGATTGACTCTGTTGACCACATCTTCTTTGATTGTCCTAAATTCTCAGAACTAAGAGCCATTATTTAATCAGAGCTCTATTTCTCCAGAAGTGAAATCATCCTGGCTACTCAGAGATAAAGATAAACAAACCACTCTGTGTGCAGCGAAATGTTTGGCGGATGTTAAGTTACATGATAACTAACTTTTAGGTTCTCCTCCCATGGGATGAGGGTTTGCTGTTTATGACTTAGGTTGTAAAAACTGTAAAAAGTAAAAATAAAAAAGTAAAAAGATAACAGCAGCTGGCGATATGCCTACAGTGTATTGTATTGCTTAAAGTTTCTAAATAGTCCTCAAAGGCCACCCTATGGAAAGCACACTGAAGTACTCTTAACTGGGATGTACCTAGTATGGAATGACTGTGGTCCCGTCAGGGACTTTCATTTCTGCAACAGCAGTCTCGAATACCATGTGGTAATTTGCTGTTGGAAATATCAAAACCAGCTTGCATATTCCATAAGGTTTTGCTATTCAAAAGAGATAATTGAAAAAAGGTCCTACAACGCATAGCCTTAGGCGTGCCTAAAGTAGCATTCAGTGTGAATGGGCAAAATGGACAAGTCTCTGTGAGCCTAGAGACGTATCTGTCTCTTCAAGAAGCACAGGCCGATATACCCATGTAAAGAAAAACAGAACCTGGAAACTTCTGCAGATTGCTGACTGGCATCTAAAGCTCTGTAGAGCTTCAGAGGGAAATGCATCTCCTTCCTTGCTGTTTCTTGGAACTTCAGAAGACAACAAATACACTAATATCATCAGCCAATATTAGTCATGTTTATTATCTGAATAAAAGCTATAGGTAAATTCCTAAATACCATTCTCATGTATATTCATAATGGCCACACTTACAGTATGCTAGACAGTGAGCTAAAGTGGTTCCCATTAGCAGCTGTAGAGAAAACACTATGGGTACATATTGGGAATAAGCAAGCTTTGCATTTCTGTGCATGCAGTTCCAACAGTGGGAATTTAGAGACAGGGTAATCCTGTAATCTTCTTTGAATCTCAATGAGAAAGGTGGGCTATAAATAATGTAAATTTAAAAAATAATAAAATAAAAATAATGTAGTACTCTCTAAGATTTTTGAAGCTGTTTTGGTTGTTAGTTATTTTCAGATTTATAGTATTATTTCTTAAAAAGTAAATAAAATTATTATTTACTTTTATAGGAATAACGCTATAAATTTGAAAATAACATACAACCAAAACTGCTTCATTCCCCCCCCCCTGCAATACCCAGCTTTTTAGGTGTCTGCCACCCCTACCCTGGTCCTGAAAGTTTATGTAACAAGGTGGGAATAATAGAGGAGTCTTGTATACGATATAAAACCTGTTAGTGAGTGATATTAATTGGTCACTTCCATTGTCTATTTTTGCTGCCATCTTGTTTTATTGTCTGATTGTTTTAACTTGGTTTTATTATATGGTACTATTATTTATTTAGTGCCTAATTGTCATGAACCATTCTGAGCCCATTTTGGGGATAGGGCGGGATATAAATCTAATAAAATAAAATAGTAAATAAGTCTCACTGATTTAGGATTGACGATTGGATTTACAGCTTCATTTTGCTGTTCATGTTGAAACTAAGGAAGGGGGTATGGCTCAATGGTAGAGCATCTGCTTTACATGCGGAAGATCCCTAGTTCAATCCCTGACATCACTAGTTAAAAAGATAAGAAACGCTGCAGCTGGAGACACTGGATGGCTACTGCCAGTCAGAGCGGGCAATACCGATCTTGACATAGCAGTGGTCTGACTCAGCCTGATGCAGCTTTACATTTATGTGTGCTCACGAAAGTATGGTTGAGACTGACCTGGATAGCCCAGGCTAGCCCAGTCTCATCAGATCTCGGAAGCTAAGGAGGGTTGGCCCTGGCTAGTGTTTGGATGGGGGACCTCCAAGGAATACCAGGGCTGGCAACGCCCAACCCTCTGTGAACATCTCTTGCCTTGAAGATCCTACAGGATCACCATAGGTCAGCTGTGATTTGATGGCCCTTTCCACCACCATACCATCAAAGTATAATTCTGTATGAAAAATATTAAGTACTATGGATGTTGCACAGAGGGCTCTTCTTGCCTGCTTTTCCAGGCTTAAGTCTGCTGCCTCTTAAAAGTAGTAAAGAGAACACTGCACGTTCCCAAGTAAAGGCTATGTTACAAGGTTGTATGAAATAAGTGTGGTAAATTGGAATGAATTTAGCAACCAACGTCTTTAGTAGCTGCTGATAATTCACACTCAAAGCATTGCCAAATCTTGTCTTGCAGGTTACTAGTATCTTGCAGTGTTCCTCTTATTTCAAATATCCGTACGGTGACATCTTATGAAAGTATCGGAAGATGGGAAAGGAAGAATTTAATAGTTTATCCTCCTCAAAAACCAGGAGAGCCTCGAAGACCTGCAGTAAGAGATTTTTTTTGAAAAACGTATACAATAAAATTGCAGAGCTGGTAGTTATCAAGGCCTTTGTCTAATTGTGCGAGGTCACAGCTTCTGAGCAAGTAAATTGAAGTGTTAGAATGACATTGAAGAGTTTGGGGGCCAGGACGCCATAGTCATATCAAACATAACATTTAGAGTATACCCCCTTTTGTTCCCAGAGATTCTACCGGTGTCCCAGCAATTCTTTGGCATGACAGTTGCAAAATAGGGTGTTTGTACTTGTCAGAGTCATATGCTGGGTGGACAAGCACATCACAGCTACATTTTGAGGGATCTTTTATTGTTTTTACCTCTTTGCTAAACAAAATAAATGGTAGGTTCAGGGTGTGGAGCCATGTTGATCTGAAGCAGTGGAACAAAGTTTGAGTCCAATGGTACCTTTTAGACCAACAAAGTTTTATTCTGGGTATAAGCTTTCATGTGCATGCACACTTCTTCAGATACATTGAAACAGGTCACCAAACATTACATATAGGTAGAGGGTGAGGAGGGTGTTGCCACGAAGGGCCACTTAAAGATGCATAAGGAATTGAGCAGTAAATATAGCTAAGACTGGATGAAGGCAATTGGAAAGACCTGTGAATAGCATCAAATTAGCATACAGCATAATAAAGGAGTTTACGAACATGTGAGAACTGAATGATATTAGCATGTGTAGTGAGAAAAGAAACCAGTATCTCCATTAAGTCCTTGGGGGTTCCATTGCCCTGAGTGTTGTAATAACTTGTAATTCAGCAATCTCCCGTTCTAGTCTGCTTCTGAAGTTCGTTTGCAATTAAACAGACTTTGAGGTCCACCATTGAATGTCCTTGAAGGCTGAAGTGTTCTCCTGCAGGTTTCTCACTGTTGTGATTCTTGATGTCAGATTTGTGTCCATTTATCCTTTGGCATAGGATTTGACCTGTATGCTATTTGATGCTATTCGCAGGTTTTACCAATTGCCTTCATCCAGTCTTAGCTATATTTACTGCTCAAAAGCTTTGTTGGTCTTATAGGTGCCACTGGACTAAAAAAGATTGGTAGTTTTTGACTGAGCCTAAAAAGATGCAGCAGCCATGGTCTTAACTTGGTAGAAAACAGTCAACACACTTATTAGTCTGCCCTGAATTTCACTGTAATCACATTCCTATTTATCCTCCTTTTTGGCTCCTCTACAGTTGAAAGTATGTTCAGAAAACCATAGTATCTTTTTTCAGATATTGTGTGTGAAAGTGGAGAAACTAAATATTAAAAAGTTGGTCTGTGGAAGGAAAAGAGATCCTGCTTTTTATGTGCTTAAAATTGCTAACTTGTAACATGATGTATGGGAAAGCCAGTGAGATTCATATGAAAACTCTTTAAAGTTTTCCCATCAGGTACTATAATCTTGGTCTTGCATTTTCTTTTTCAGTTTTTCTTTTTTAAAAAATAATTGACATACTATCAGATTTTTTGCCTTGCTGCTAAGCACAGTTAAAATGAAAAATGGTTACATCAGAGACAAATGCTGTGTGTGTGTATTTAAATATTCACCATCTTGTCTTCTGTGCACATTTATTGAGTCTGCTAGCAATATGACTTGAATATATGCATTATATTTTTGGGCAACAAGGTGTACATGATGACTGTGTCTGTGTGAATTTTTACTTCTCTTTGAAAAGTTTTGATTTTCTTTTCCTTCTTTTTTTTAAAATGACATTTACATTCACCAGTTGGTTCTGGCTCGACTGGTGAAAGAATGGTGGTGAGGCTGTCATTGGAAACAACATTGGTGTGGTCATACATGGAGGACTTCCTTGCACTGCCACATTACACGCATTATTATAATGTAAATGTATCTCACCCGTGCAGTCTCCCTTAGAATACCATGGCTGGGAATTTGAATAGTACCTGAAGTGCTATGTTGAAACAATCCAAGATCAGAATAGTGGCCCACTGGCACACTGTGCCGGCATGGCTGAGGAGCACGTGGTTTCCTCAGTGCTTCCTGAGGGGCCTCTGTGGGACCAGTGAACATGCACTGGCTTTCTGTCCTCACTTCACAGGGCTCAAGTCCTGACACTTGCAAAATGAAATGAAGAAGCTCTGAGCCGTGTGTGCTCATCTTGGTGCTGCTCTGTGTAGGGCAGCGACAAGGGTATGCATCACCAGCTTGCCACCTGGCCCCATAGGGCTGCACATCCTTTGCAACCGTAAGATGAAGGGAGGGGAGAATACATGCTCTGCACATAGAAATGAGATAAGGGCATGTGGGGCTTGACTGCTTCCCTTCATTGGTAGGAAGTTAGATGTTCTTTGAGGCTGGGCAGAGAAAGGAAAAGCGGGGTGAGTTCAGTGCTGTGCTTGTGATGGGGAGGGAGACAGTGGAGGGCTGCTAGAGAGAGATTGTGAGAAGAATGAGCAGCGATGTGACTGTGCCCAGCAAAGGGTTGGGCACCTGCTCCCTAGGTTGCCTGCAAGGCTGTGTCAAATTTCATTGCCTCTTTACAGCACAGCCGGCCATTCCTATGTCCTCGTGCCCTTCTTTACAGGATATGGCCTGCTTTTGTTATTCTGCGCAGTTTTCAAATGTCCTGTAAGAGATTAAATGTTTTATAGCTTGTGGCCATGCCCTACATTTGCCCCCTTTAAGCATCATCCGTGAGGTCTTACTGGTCTTTCCCATTTTCTTGTGTAGCTTCTGACACACACAGTATCTTTTGGGGGTGGGGTGGGGGGAGTTTCCTGTTTTCATCTAGTGTGTATTTAGTTTGGGGTAAACAACTTTTGCTCCTCGAGGCATTATAGCCACCCTCATTGAATTGATTTAAAGAATAAACTTCTGTGATTTTTTTAAAGGAAATTTACCACTGTCGAAGACATATTAAATACAGTATGGACAAGATGTGGTACGTGGCCAAGCTGGTAAGAGAAGTTGTTTTGGTAGGCTTAGTTGTATAAGGCATGCATGATTTTGTTGTTATTAAGTAACAATTCTGTTTCATTGATCTTGCCACAAGTCCTTGTGGCTGAAAGAATTCAGAAGATTTCATACCTTGCCTTACAAATGGCAGCATTAAAATGTTATATGAACTGCATATTTGGCATACAGCACAAGAAGGTCTGGCTGTTGTGCCTCAGACAATACACTTGAACCACATGAGTCTGCCTTATACTGAATCAAACCCTCAGTCCATCAAAATCAGCGTTGTCTACTCAGACTGGCAGGTACTCTCCAAGGTCTCAGGCAGAGGTCTTTCACATTACCTACTGATAGATCCTTTAACTGGAGATACTGGGGATTGCCAAGCAGATGCTCTACCACTGAGCCACATCCTAGTGGTAAAGAGAAAAGATACTGTGTCGGCTGGAATGCATGGGGTAGCAAAGACCAAGCCCATGGTGAATTCCTTGTTTCCTCTTGAGGAACAGAAAGCACATCAGGATCATTTGCAGAATGTCCGATCCTCTGCAGTTGCTGATAATGTGGCTGCCACAAGAAAGTCATCTGAAACTACCCTCATGAGACAGCTGTTCCATGCAACCAACGTCTACCAAACATTCTTGTTCATAGCTTGTGCTAGTCATGCTACGAAGGTTGATCATGTCATGTTTGAATGACTTACTGCATAGAACAGATACAATATCAGAGCAGTTTGCAGCAGATTCTGTATTGTGAGAGTCAGATCTAGATGTACATGAGAGATTTGAGAAAGCTGTTGCTAGGAAGCTTTGGTAAGAAGCCAGTTGATGTGACTTTTAGTAATTAGTAATTCTTTTCTCCCTGCTATTGCTTTCGGAATCCCTAGTGCTTTTTGCCAGAGTTCTTTAAAGTATCACTTACATAAAATCATGCATAGCAATTAGTAACAAACAGGCATTGCCATATAGCTCTAATACTTCTAATTTAAAATATATTAGCTATCCAGCATAGTCAGATCAAAGTCCTTTATGGGATTTGCTTCACTATGTGCAGTGTATTGCGAATTCTTACTTCTGCTCCCGGTTGCTTGAAGGTTTACTCTTTCCTGTGACTTTTAATTCCAGATACGAGGCATGAGCATAGATGAAGCACTAGCTCAACTAGAATTCATCGATAAAAAGGGAGCAAAAGTGGTCAAAGAGGTATGTTGTAGATTTCTTTAGTATTCCATTTTCGAAGGTCAGACCCATGTGTTTGAGCAACCACCAGTACACCAAAAGAAAGGTCTGAAGAGAGCAGATTTTTCTGTTTGCCCATTTGTACGAGCTTTATGGGCTCATTTTGTTAATTCTCCCTAGCTCACAAAGGGATTGATTATCTAGTATCAAAAAAGGATCAACAGCCTCTTTCCTAGTGAGCTGGTGGGTCGATCATGTGCAACATGACTGTGTGTGCTGGCCATTTTATAATGAGCTTGTGCTGCCTAATGGGCCACATTTAAAGCATCGCTAATTACTTCAGGCATTTAGTCTAATCACCCACTCCGCTGGACCTCTTCCACCTTGAGTTGTATTGAATTTTTTAAAGCATCAGCCTGGTGTAGTGATGAAAGTGTTGGGCTAGTATCTGGGAGCAGACCCAGGTTCAAATTCTGCATGTGTTATGAAATTGGCTGGGTGATCTTGTTCAGTATACTCTCCCAGCCTAATCTACCTCACGGGGTCATTGTGAGGCTAAAATGGAAGAGGGCAGACAGAAGTATGGCATTCTGAGCTCCTTGTACTAAAGCAATACATTAATAAGATGTAAGAGAAGAGTTTTGTAACAGGGAAAATGGGGTGCACAGAAAATTGGGAAGGGCGAGCAATGAAAAGCACTGGCATCAAAATTCCAAAATGCTGTTTTATTTGAGAGTGTAAAGAACAGTTACAGGGTTGGGGCATTTTGTGGGGCACCCTCTAAAAAAGCAAGCATTTGGAAATATTTGAGATTGGTGTGTGGGCCGCTCTCTGGGGTTTTGCCCATTATGTTTGGCTATAGAAAAATAATTAGTAAAAGTTAAAATGGGGGTGGGGGAGTTCTGGGATAAATGAACTATACCATAATGCAGAGGATGTTCTGACAGTAGGATGTGAGTCATAGTTAGCTGAAAGGAATGTATAGAGAATCTATAACTGGCTTGTCAAGGCTGAAATGGCATCCACCAAATGTATTTTAGTTTGGAAGAACTGTCGTGTCACCTTTCATAATGTCACCATGGTTAAGTGGGAGTGATTTTATTAGTGGTAGTTACTGCTGAACTTTACTTGGGGTATGTTCCATACATACTACAGTTTCTTTCCATTTCCAAGTAGTTAAACTGAAGGGGGAAAATAGGCTTTCGCTGTGCAGTTATTCTTATTAAGGTCAATACATAGCTTATGTTTCCTTACTTAACATTGCATGGTTTTAGTCTGTGATTTGTATTACTTTTCTGCTCCATAATAGGTTCTTCTAGAAGCTCAAGAGTTGGCAGTGAGAAAACACAATGTAGAGTTTAAATCCAACCTACATATTGGTAAATAATGTGTTTATTATTGTGGAAAATGTCTTGTGAACGCCTTATTTCAGTCTAGGGCAGTGGTATGAACCAGCTTAGGATCTTAGCAGTTATGGGAACAACTGCTGTAGTCAGTACATTGTTCTGCATACTAATAATGGTGAGAGAGTGTCAAAATGGAGTGGGGGGGGTAGGAGAAGGTTGTGGATGTGTGTGTTCTTGATGCTGTCTTCCCTCTCTGGGATTTGTTTGACCTATATTTAATACAGTTCTGGGAGCAAATACATTTCATTACTCAAAGTATTAAACTGGCGAACAATAGAAATATCTTGTCTGAATGTTATCTCATTTTGAGCAGAGACTTCAACAGCCAATTATAGCTTTCTTTGCTGTAGATGCATAAAAATAGGGTAGACTCCTAAAGCGTAACTTATTTTTGAAGGAAGTATAGCTAGAATTCTTCCCATGGTGATTACTTAATGTTTCTCACCACAGCAGCTGTGTATATGAAAAGCACATTATTCTGTATAAGTCTTAAACATATTAGACCATTTTTCATCAGCTGCCTATTTCATTAGTTTGTAACTCATTTTGCTGTGGCAGGTTAGCTCACAGCTTGCACTTCACTTTTCAGCAACTGGCCATCTATCAGCCTTTAACTGAGGTTAAAAAGATTCTAAATAAAGTGTATTTAGATCCGCTGTTTACGTGCTGCCTTCTGACTCCTCAGTACCCAATTGATCCAGTTAGCTTTCCACTATTACAGCTGCTGCCATAGGAAGCTCATTTCTCTTTTAAACCTATGATGACAAAAAGCAGCATAGAAATAGGTTTTACCAAGGGGGAAAATAAAATGTCACTTCATGATGATTCATAGCACCTCAAATGGACATTCCAGAGGGAGGTGATTGACCAGCTTGTAAATTACGCTTTGTAGGGCATGACTTCGAAAAAAGATAAAGGTAGTTCTTACACTGTATTAGAGAAAACAGTTGGAATGCCTGGTAATAGAGCACTAACAGGCAGTGTTAGTCATTTTAAATCTGTATCTGACCATGGTTCTTTTGCTGCCAATTGATATAGGCCTTGTTTTCAGCCATTTCTAAGGTCTCACTGTAGTCTAGGGTTGTAGCTGGGAGGATAAAATGGAGGAAGGAAGAACTGTGTTGTAAGCTGCTTTGGGTCCCCATTGTGGAGAAAGGGTGTACAGATAAATAAATAGCCTCTTGAGAGTCCCTTGGACTGCAAGAAGATCAAATCAGTCAATCCTAAAAGAAATCAACCCTGACTGTTCCTGGAAGGCCAGATAATGAAACTGAAGCGCAAATACTTTGGCCACCAAATGAGAAGGGAGCACTCACTGGAGAAGACCCTGATACTGGGAAAGATTGAAGGTCAAAGAAGACAGGGACAGCAAAGGATGAGATGGTTAGACAGTGTCATAGATGCAACGAACATGAAATTGAGCCAACTTCAGAGGACAGCGGAAGACAGGAGGGCCTGGCGTGATCTGGTCCATGGGATCACGAAGAGTCGGACTCGACTGTGCGACTGGACAACAACAACAAATCATTGGCACAGGTGTTCAGTAAAGTCATAGGAATGTACCATGACAGTGAAACATATCTGAAACGCATGCTCACCTGTGGCTTGATAAGCAGGGTTGGTAGCCTACTTTTCTGTGATTTAGATACTGTCAGTATAATTTTATTACTTGCAACTACTGGAAATAAGGCATGGATTGATAGACTTCAGTCTTCAATCAGTCTTCACTCCCATGAGAGGCCAGTGTAGCTTCCATTCCTCACCCCCATGCTTCTGTATGCCTCTGTAATGCCAACTGCACTTACTGCATCTTGGCAGGCCCATCTCTCTAATTAGATAGCCTTCTGGATTTCACCTCAGGGCAGCCAACAGCCCCAGGCCCCCAGTGTGGCTGTTCACAGTAGAAAACAGGAGCAGACTATTTGAGGAGATCTGTGCAAGATCTGGCATTTGGATGCCTTAAACACTGGCTGAGAATAGATGTGCCTGCCAAGATGTGGCACATGTGGCATGACAGTCAAACGACTAGGGGAGGTTGCACTGATTTTTTATGAGAGGCTATACCACCACCTATTCCAGTTGTGTAGGGTTACAATTATTATATTTTTAAGATGCATCCATCAATCTTACCTCTAGTTGTTAAGCCACAACTTTGGCACTTTATTACCATAACCAATGCCAACATTTGGGTAACTTCTTCGGGACCTGAGCCATAGTTTGGTCATTTTTGCTGGGGGCGTACCACTGCACAGGCATTTAAAAGAGCTAGTGGTTGTGTTGCTGCATCCAGAGGACTGAAAATCCTGTTAAAGGTTTTCTAGACGTATGTACTAGCCAGGATTCTCCTTTTAATATTTATACTTTATTTTATGTCTTCTAGCTCGATCATTCTCTGGGAAAGGCTACTACATAAAAAGGATCCGCTACCATGGCAAAGGCATGTTTGGCATTATGGACAAAGTCAGATGTCATTACTTTGTGAAACTAGTTGAGGGCCCACCTCCACCTCCAGAGCCACCGAAGACTGGCTTCGATCAAGCAAAGGAGTACGTGCAGCAGCTTCGTAGCCGAACTATCATTAATACGCTGTAATATATTCCATGCTGTGTAATTCTTTCTTCCTTTTTCAGAAGACTTGTAAATAAAACTCATTTTAAGGAGAGTCTGATTCCTGCATTTGAATGCAAAGATATTTGTGGTGATTGGGAGGGAACGACAAGCCCCAGACAGTGACTTATGCTGCCTGAGAAAATGGTGGCGGGTGATCCTGTTGAGCAGCATTATGGTGATTTATATTTGGATCCTTAAGCTTTCCTTGGAGTTCTTTCCCACTATTACTTTCCCGGAAAATATTAGCTTTTTTGCTCCTTAAAGGGCAGCATTTGCTGAGCATGCAAGACATTTTTAACTGACCACATACTTTAAGTATTGCACATAAAGTCAGTAAATGAATTCTGTCCTAGCTCCACTAATAGTATTTTGAGTTTATAGCTATTTTAGATCTCTGTTCTCCAATTGTCACTGCAGCATTGCTACCCTATTACAAACATATTTCATAGGAGTATTTTGTGTTGAGCACAGGGCATGTGACTACAACTAGATAACTCTTTGGGGGAAATGGGGTCACAGAGTTATCTCTAAGCTGAGTTAGTGTGAGCTAGCTCACAGTCTTTTAGCCTCCGGCTCACCGCAGCAGCCAAATCGCTTGCTCACAACTTTAAGGCCAGTAGCTCACAAAGTAGAATTCTTGCTCGCAAGACTCCACAGCTTAGAGGGAGCATTGGTCACAAACACAGCCATCATTAATGTTTGACAAACAAGCACTGCCCTGACTCAGATTAGATGTGACCAATAATTAAATTGAGGGGAAAAGATAGCGATCATTTTGATTGACTGTCAATAATTGGCTAGGAATATACATTTAAAAAACTATATATATATTGCTCTTGATCTTATGCATTGCAGAAGGCAGAGGATGGCTTCATAGAAACCGCACCGTGAAAAACATGGTGAGCTAAGTTTTCAGTTCACCAAAACATAGCTGTAGATGGCACTGCTGTTCATTTTCTGGAAATACCTAATGAGACAAGGAAAACTTTAAAAGTTCAAAGTTACTCCATGACTCCTCACAGTTGCATTACATATCCCAATGTATATATAAAATGGCTAATCTCTGTGGAAGCAAAGTGCTTGGCATTAACAATGGAGAAAATGTACCTTACTGACTAAAAGAAGGAGCACTGATTTAAAAGTTCCTTATTTTAAGTACAGAATGGTTTTTGGTGCATCCATTTAGATTGTTTCAGTTGGGTAGCTCTGCTGTTCTGCAGTAGAATAGCCATTAGCTACCTTCCAGTCCTCAGGAATGGAGGCAGACTTTAATGAAAAGATTACATATCTTTGTCAGGAGATCTACAAGTTCACATGTGAGTTCTTTCAGAACTCTTGGATGTATGCCATCCAGGCCTGGTGATTTATTATTTTTTAAGTTGTCTATTAGTCGTAGGGCCTCCTCTCTCGTCACCTCAATGTGACTCAGGTCTTTCAACACCCCTCCCGAAATCACCGGTTCTGGAGTGGGCAAGCACTTCTCATTTTCCACAGTGAAGACGGAGGCAAAAAATGCATTCAGCTTCTGAGCCATTTCCCTATCATCCTTCAGTACTCATTTTACCCCTTGGTCATCCAGGGGCCCCACTGCCTCCCTGGCTGGTTTCCTGCTTCTAATGTATTTGAAGAAAGTTTTATTGTTGGTCTTTATGTTTTTTGCTATATGCACCTCACATTCCCTTTTTGCCTGCTTGATCACAGACTTGCATTTTATTTGTCACAGCCTGTGCTCCCTTTTAGCAACCTCACTGAGACTAGCTTTCCACCACCTAAAGGAATCCTTACCTTTTACAGCTTCCATGACTTTGTTTGGTAACCATGCAGGCTTTTTTCTATACCTATTTGTACCTTTCCTAACCTGTGGTATATATATTTTTTCTGAGCTTTTAGGACTGTTTTAAATAGTCTCCAAGCTTCCCCATTGGTTTTGACACTTTCTACTTTTCCTTTCAGTTTCTTCCTCACATGTCCCCTCATATCAGAGAAATTACCCTTTTAAAGTTAAACGTGGTTGTGTCAGTCTTTTTGGGCGACTCCCTATTTATACAAATGTTGAACTCAATAACGTTATGGTCACTGTTCCCAAGTGATGCAATCACTTTTACATCTCTCACCAGGTCTTGGGCTTTACCTAGGACCAAATCCAGAATCGCCTCTCCCCTGGTAGGTTTTGTGGCCATCTGTTGCATAGCATAGTCATTGAGAGTGTCTAGAAATTCAATTTCTTTTTCCGGATTTCAACACATATTGACCCAATCAATATTTCGTCTAGCCACTATCTTTAATTCATTCATTATTTTATAATCCTCTATCTTTGATCTGGTGGGCGATAACAAACTCACAGTGTTAAGCTTCCTTTTGGGCTCACTATTTCCAGAAGTGAATCCAGTTCTCTTACCTTCTCAGTCTTACTGGTCTGTATACCCTCTCAGACATACAGAGCCACCCCACCTCCAACCCTCCCCCCCCATCCTTCCGATATAATTTATAACCAGGAATCATCGTATCCCACTGATTTTCCTCATCCCACCAAGTTTCTGAAATACCCACATCTATTTTCCCCCCAACACCAAGCATTCCAATTCCCCGATTTTACCTCAGACACTTCTAGCATTTGTATATAAATATCTATAGTTTCCCATACATGTTAAGCCCACAACCTTCCTCTTGCTGCCTCGAGACCTTGCCAGGTAGTCCATATCGTTAACCACAGTCTCAGTGGACAATTCTAATCCATTTCCTTGTAGAAAAGTAACAGCTACCCCTTCATCTCTTTGAGATGAGCCATCTCGAACCAGAGACTTTTCATCTCCTGTCAGCTTTCCCCTAATATTCAGTTTAAAAACTGCTCTTTCACCTTTTTGATTTTAAGCGCCAGCAGCCTGGTTCCTTCTTGGGACAAGTGGAGACTATCTCTTTTGTCCAGCTCCCTTCCTCCAGGACCTCACAACTGCATTTCCCCACATCATTGGTCCCAACATGTGCCATGACCACTGGCTCCTCCCCAGCACTATCTACCAGACTATCTAGAACACGCGTAATGTCTGTTACCTTTGCACCAGGCAGGCAACTCACCATACAGTCAGTATGCAGTTTCGCCACCCAGCTGTCTGTCTGCCTAAGGATCAGATCAGCAAGTACCAAGAGCCCGCCTCCCTCCGTGCCCAGGGATGGTTCCTTGGTGCAAAAGGATACCCATTCACCTGCTGAAGAAGAGGTTCCCCCTATCTGCAGCACGGTGCCCTGTTTCCTCTCGACCCTCATGCTCCCTGACAGTAGCAGGGCTGCCATATACAGAGTGGGACATATTTAACAAGTCCTTGAGAGTCTTCTCCATGCGCCTGACTGTCTCTGGTTCTCCAGGTCTGAAGGTTCGTGCAGGTTCGTGAGCAGATACATTCCCAGACAGCTTCTGCTCAATCAAAATGTTTACAAAATTTTGAAACAACAACTTGGAGGGCATGTAGAGGAGCATCTGGAGGACGTCCCTCACGACTTTGATGTCTCTAACTTGCACAGGATCTGTTCCATACACCCCTAAACTTGCCACTGTCAAAAGGATAATTTTGACTGGTACAAGTTCAGGAGTGTATAGAATGAATCCTGTGCAAACTAGAGACACCAAACTCACAAGGGATCTCTGGCCAACTCTCTTCTACCTGCCCTCCAAGTTTGGTGAGGATTGGATTTACAAGGTCTGAGTTTTGCCCCCCCCCAGAAGGTGACCCCAGGAAAGTCCATTCTGGGGAAATGACAGGCAGTTATTTAGAGACACCAAATTTGCAGTGGATCTCCAGCTGACTCTCATCTACCTGCCCTCCAAGTTTGGTGAGGATTGGATTTACAGGGTCTGAGTTACAGCCCTCCAAAGAAAGTTCCCCCGGGAAAGTGCTTTCTGGGAAAATGACAGGTGGTCATTTCCCCAGAAAGCACTTTCCTGGGGGCACTTTCTTTGGGGGGCCAATCCTCACCAAACTTGGATGCAGGTAGAGGAGAGTCAGCTGGAGATCCCCCATGAGTTTGGTGTCTCTAACACGCGCGCGGGGGGGGGTTGCTCTACCAACTCACAAACCTCACGAACTGAACCGATTAGTAAGGCAGCTAAAAATTTGTGATGGTCCATGGTTTGCAAATGAGGCATATCGCAAACCACAAACTGAACCACATTTTCTTTTTTTAAATATCATTTTATTTATTTTCAATAACACAAAATACAAACATACATAAA